CAGGCCCCTGTATTCTGCCTCCTGCCCCATCACTCTCTGTGAAAGTTGATCCCTGGGTGGTCATTAATGATCACATCTAGCCATCCTTCCTTACACTTCATTCTCTTAACTCAGTCTTCCTTCTTGAAATGTTCGTATCTGGGCCATTTATTTGTTCTGGTTTCTCCTGCAACCTCTCTGGCTACCATTTCTTTACCTCTTGGCACATATTGCTAATTCTAGGTCAGTTTGGAGAAATGGATATATAGCCAAGAAGCCTTGGCCACCAGCAGGCCAGAATAGAAGAAGACTGATCGGTCTCCTGAGACTGTAGGCTGTAGCTTAACTAGGGGTGCAAGCTAACCAAAAGTCTAAAGCCATTTTGAAAACTGTTTTTCAAACTGCCTGAGGTAATTAGAGCCAGACTGTATACATTCTGCAGTCATCCCCCTTGATATGCTTCCTGGCACTGCCAGTTATGAGCTGTGTGACTTTGGCAAAGAAGACAACTTCCCTCAGTTTCACCTGTACAAAACAGGTATAATAATACCACTTAGCCCATAGGGTTCTTGTGAGGGTTAAACAAAATAAATGAGGTGCTCAATAAAATGTCATATTATAATTTATTAATATACTTATTTACTCACCAAATATATACTGAATGCCCACTTTGTGTCAGGCCTATGGTAGATGTTGGGGGTACAATGTTGTACAAGGACAGACACAATACCTGCTCTCATGTAGCCTACAGTCTAGTTGGGGAGACAGCTGTTAATGACACTCAACATCTTTATTTACTTAGGTCAAATGTATGGACAAGGGAGTGGTAGAAGATGAGGTTGGAAAGACAGGATTTTTGATATTTGAAGAATTATATGTGTACCAGTTTGGGGACAGCATCCTAATCCAACTGGTCACCACTGAAGATTTTCAGCAGGGAAGTGATATGAAGCTGCTGGTTTTGGAGGATAGGTTGGAGGTGAATGGGTGAGACAGGAAGAAGTAAGGCCAATTAATGGCTAGTTTTGCAATAGTGCGGGTGAGAATGTTGAAGATCTGAACTAGTACTTTGGCAGTGAGGTTGGAGGAAAGGGTTCTGAGAGTATTAGGGGACAGAATTATTATGGTAGTTTACCAAGTTCTCCACTGGCTTCCTCTACACCCAGAGTTCCTCCAAGTTTCAGAAACTTCAGAGACCAAACAGAATTCTTGTCTCAACTCAAATGGACAGCCCCCTCCTTTTTCTCATTCCTAGCTTGTCAACCAGCACTTTTCTATTGGTCTCCCCTTTCTCTTGCCAGAGCTTTCATGACACTGAGCTGCCTCCTAGTGGAGACAGGGTTTATAACAGCCTAGAATCTTAGCCTTTTTTTTACAATTCATTCAACAAATCTATGTCTATCTGAGTCAGGCATACACTTTATTTTTCAAAAACAGAAACTGTGTCTAGGATACAGGAATCCTAGAAAATATTGAAAGATAATATCAGGTTAATATTTTAAGTAATATTGCTCAAGTGGGATTGACAGAGCACTCAAAGACATCAAGTGACTTTTGCAGGAAAACTATCCACCTTTTCCTTTTCTTGTTTTATTAGTTAAGTCTCAGTAAAGATTTTGAGGAGCTGAAGCAGAAGGGGCTTTATTTGATGTCTTATGGGAATGTGGACCCAGTGTTGTCAAACCTTCCAATTTTTAAAGAGAAGCTGGGAAGTCAATTGCTACATGAAATATTCAAACTTTTTAAATGTTGTAAAGTAATTTAAAATTTAAAAAA